CAACCACTGAGAATAGTTAATGATTATTCAATAGGTCACTCATGTATAGCTCTATTTATTTTCTTTAGAAGCCACTTTGAAGATACCAAAGTATAGTACAGCAACTATTGATAATCTTCTACCTCTTTTGACTGTAACTCACTATTATTTGTCTATTTGTTTTCCTGAGAAACTATCTTGTAGATATGTAAAACAATAACCATTGATAATTTCCTACCACTTCGTCTGTAATTTGGTAAGCCCCCCCTATTATTATGTTATCCTTCTTTTACTCTTTAAAATTAAAAAAAAAAAAATAGTCACCTGGAAAAAAATCTACACTGAAAACCAAGCTTGAGAAATTTAGCAATAACTATTTTAGTAAAAAAATTTATGTATAGTTCAAAGCCCATCAGATTCAAATAGCAACCATGGATGAAAAAGAAAGATTAATGGGCTTGAGTACTTTCTCAATATATTAAATACCCATTTACTTTAAAATTAACTTCTTTTAATCATCTTTCCAGGTCCTGTTCAGACTTGCCTAGAACAAGGGATTGGAAGAACCTGTAAATTTATGAACTAATCCAGTGTGCCCTGACTAACTTAAGAAGTGTTCCTTCCATCAAACACAGAAGAAGTATCAGTGGAACTGACATAGAAATTAACACTTTGGTAATTCACGAAGATTGGAAAAAGCCATGGCAACAAATTACTGACTTCTAGCCCTCTTACATTTCATGATTTGTCAAGAAAAACAGGACTACATGAAGACCGCAGTATCAACCTATCTGAATGGCTCCCACTGAAATTGGTACGAGATGGTGAAATTCAGGTGGCTGCAAGGAAAAGCTGATGACATCTGAATTGTTTGGAATTATGAACTCGTGTAAAGCAATTTAAAAGTCAGAACCCATACCAACTGCTTTGATCCAAGAACTGAAGAGAGATAAAGTATCTATCGCCCTACACTGGACAAAGGGCCAGGTTCTTGTTATCCTGGCAGCAGGGGCTGCCAAAAGGAACGTATCTGTGAAAAGAGATCAAAGAAATGACCAAGGCTCTAGAAATGCATTGGTAAATTCAAAAAACTTTTAGACTTCTTCAATGCTGATGCATGACAGTAAACAAGAGAACTAGTCTTCATAAAGTTTTATATTTCATATTATACTTATTCTCCATTAAAAAAACACTACTTTCTTCATTTCACTGGTGGGGAAAAAAGTCTTTCAAAGATTAGACAGGTGTGGTGCATGCACCTATAATCTCAGTACATGGAAGGCTAAGGCAAAGGATTGCTGCAAATTCAAGGCCAGCCTGGGCTACTTAGTGAGTTCAAAGCCAGCCTGCACTACAAAGTAATACCTTGTCTTTAAAAAAAAAAAAAAAAAAAATTAAATAACACCAAGGACAAAGTAAGCAGAAAAGGCAAGATTCTAACTCTGTCTGACACCAATACATGTACTTTTCCATCAACAAGTGAAAGTCTTTATTATGTCAACATATTTTTGATCAAGATTTCCCAAAAGGAAAGTTAATGAAATGCACCTTCTAGGCAATAATTTCAATGAAAAATAGAAAACTTTACAATTTCTTCCTTACTCAGTAGCCAATGAATGAGATACTCAAATTCACAAGATCAAAAAAGCTGCTTTTGTGTAACAGCCAAAACACAAGAAATAGACTGTAAAAGTTTGCTAACATTTGAGCAATGTGCCAAGGTGTGGTGGATACAAGCCTCTAATCCTAGCACTCAGGAGGCTGAGGCAGGAGGATCATCCAAAGTTCAAGGCCATACATAGTGAGTTTAAAGCCAGCCTGGACTACACAGCAAGATCCTGTCTTAAAAAAAGAAAGAAAAAATTGAGGGATCTAAAATAATACGCAGAAGTATAGCAATTAAGTTTTTATTCTTCCTGCATTTTCCACTTTATAATACCGAAACAAATTTCAGAGTTTGCTGTTATATGAAAGTGATATGTGTTTTATATCAAAACAAGACTCACAATTTTAATGCAACTCTCTCAATTATATAAATTAACCTTCTCCCTACAGTGTTTCAGAGAAGCAAACAATTGTGGCCACCATTCTTCCTGCACTTTAATATAAACTACCAGCCTTTCTTTTTCATAGGGTACAATGCACACACCATCATGAGAATATGCCAGAGTTGACTCTGCAATGTTTACAAAACTAAAAAGTACCCAGTTTTAGAATTTCTGAAATCCATGTTGCCTGCCAAGAATAAAAACTCAAATCACAATATAGAACCACACAAAAATGAATATAAACTGCTACGGCTGCATGACAGACTTTGGAAGGGAAATGGGTAGAAAACACTTCTCCCAAACCATGAGCCTAAACAAATGAATTCTAAACCTTAAAAGTGATCCCCGACCAGTTACACCTCAGTCAAAACCAGCATCCAGGGCAAAGGTCAGAAAACACTGTAAAGGGCCAGATGGCAAATATTTGAGGCCTTGAAGGCATTTATCTCTGTTACAATATG